CAACATACAGTAGTTGCTAAGTAATTGCCAGATTGCCATCCAGTATATCTGGTGTTCCAAATTGTTAAACCCATTAAGCTGCAGAGCTTCCCCATTGACTAGTAAAATCATCTGGCGTTAGATAAGTAAACAAAAAAAACAGGGTGCACTGGGGTGCATTGCAGCTCAATGGGTAAAGGTTATGATAGGAGTTATGTGCCACCTTAGCTTACATCAATCACCCCTACAACCTTATGCCCCAATAATGTGTTGTAAATGACCAATGTAATATCTTTTCATCACACAGCAACATTTTCTGGGGGGAGGGGTATATACACGGTATAAGTTATTTACAGGTATTTTGGGAAATATTTGAGTACTCCAAAACTCAGACCAAAAGTCATTGAAATTGATTAGCCTTGTATGCAAAGTTGGCACATATTACTGACAAAACCTGAATATATTTAAACACATACCTGACATACCGTTTGCTTTGAAGGAACGTCTGGAGTTAATAGCATTTTCTAAAGTAATTTATAAATAACAAAGTTGTAGTTTCTCGACTGCGACCAAATTTTGAAATATACAGATGCCAAATATTACACCAAGAAAAACAGCAAAAGACTGTTTTCTTAACAAAAAGTGTGCATTTCATCGTTAAGCTTACGTTAAGCCTATCAATTTTATGTGAGATAAGATAAAACATAAATAAAATTGAATGAAATACCTGTTTTATATAGCTCGCTGATTCAAATATCCTCTTTGCTCATCAGTGCGAGCCTGCGAGGTTTGGATTTTGGTTTTGTCTTTCCCGGGAAGAATAACACGTACGACTTGCACATCTTTGAACCAATAACCAAATTTAGAAAAAATATCTTGAAAACATTTTAAAAATCGATTCAAATATCGAGAAAATACTACAAAACCCGAGCAAAATTGCAAAAACCTAAAGTTTTTTAAAGAAAACCAGGGGGGTGTGGAAATTGTAGCGGGCTCAGATCCGAGCCTGGTCAGTGGTAATTACCATGAGAAATACGGACCAGTTGTCATGGAGATGGCGTCAGCAAAGGCCGAAATCCGCCATGTTTTTGGCTTCACTTTTTTTTCCCGTGCAGGTCCTCCAGTAATATAGTATAGCTCAGTGTTTGGCGCCCGGGAGAAGTTTGCGCGCTGTGACTTTCAAAAAAGAACTGGGGAGAGTTAAATTTCCTCGTAATTTTGTTTTTTTAGCAAAAATACGCCGAAAAATTAGGTTTTTCGTCCGAATATTTCAATTTCAAAGATTAAAACTTGGTTTTCTGGATAGTTCTAAGTATTCAACATCCACTAACAGCAAAATCTCGAAAGGAACCATTTTTGTATTCAAGAAAATAAAATATTTTCCGTGCCGAACAAAATACGATTTTCAGGTACACAAAAAATAACGTTAAGTCTTTTCTGCACATGATTTGTGCAATAGTCCAAGTATCGTAGATGTTTTTAAGTTTTTTATCTATGTTCTAGCATAGCTAGAAAGGCAGAAATCCGAGTTTTTCGAAGAGGTGTATTTTCGCCGCCGTACCTCCAATGGCGGCCTTCAATTTGGCTTCAAAGATGGCGGCCAAGTTATCGTTCCAGTCTTAATAGAGTTCACTGATGGGTGGTCATCTCACTGATCTCAAAATATGGCTGTTTGCCATGAGTGAAGAAGGGGGGAAATATAAAAAATACATGCAAGAAAGCTTGGAAAATCGTTTCACATAACAAATTGTAAAAGTTTTTTTTCAATTTTTAAACGTAAACATTTATAAGAATTGATTTAGTATCAGAAATTCTAAAGTATAGCCATAGGGCAATTTTGTTTCAATTGTATATGTACGTCTTTGTATTTGATTATAAACTTTGTTCTTGTTGTTCAAGTCTTTACTATGCATTGTATGTGAAAGTTTCTTAGTTAAATTTATCTTTGTAGAAGTTCATGATACAAAATATTGAAAAAAAACAATTATCGTGTTGCCATGACTAACATGACGTGAGCACTCGGGCCTGCGTTTAGTGCTGGCGTAATTGCGAATACTTCATGTTGAAACAATGTTTGGAGAATATAGGCGAGGGGTTATTGCATGCATGTATTTCTAGTATTTTCCCCTTCATTCCTGGCAAACAGCCATATTTTCAGATCAATGAGATAACCAACCATACACCTTCGATATTTGATTAACTTTCAACTTCGGTAGTGCGTTTCTTTTCCCCGAGTGTAAATAGAACTGCTACCCTCGCCACGGGCTTACTCCTGAAATGGCGCTTCGCGCCTTTGGCTAGGGGATAAATTTCTTGATCGTTATTACTCCTGTAGGCTGTCATAAATTGCTGCAATATGCTCAAGGAAAGGATCTTGCCGATTGCAAAAGATATGCCAGAAGCAACATGGGCGGAAATTATTGACAAATGTTATGGACTTGGTGTTGACTTGTCTGCTAAATACATGTATGTATAGCTTGCTTTGTAATGACGGATAGAGATACCGGACAGAAAGCGTAAATCCTCTGATAGCAAATAGCATCATATAGGCAGCCCAATAGCTAGGCGTGTTAAATATTTGACTGAAATATAAAAACTTTTAATTAAAAGAGTTTTTACAAGTTATTGATAGTTTGAATTTTTTATTCAAGTATTTAAGAGGCAGTCTCTGTAAAAACCTCACGACTTCTTTGGATCAATAAATAGATTTATCTCAAACTTTGCAGTTGAGATTGGCTTTATAAGGGTTGTTTCAAAATGCATTTTTTCTAATTGCATTTTGGCAAAGTTTCAGGGGGTCAAGTTGAGGGATGAAATTATGATTTTTGCTCTTTCTCAACAGTGGATTTTTACTGATTTTTAAACTCTGTACCTCAAACAAAAATAATGATAAAACTAAATCCTTCCACACAATAGTAGCTTTTTATGTCTTAAGTAACAAGGTATCAATAAATTTTTCAAATATGTTTTCTAAATATAGAAATGACATCATTCATCACCCTCGTGAACAGTTTGTTGAAAAAAATAAGCATTTGGCGAAGGTCTGACAATCGCATATGCAATGAGTAATGCCATACTGTAAATATATACCGAGAAAATTAAAGAATAAAGTACACTTTTATTATCAGAATTTGTCAGTTTTGGAATAAATATCGTATGGCAACGAAGGGCGTACAACAAAGTGTTATTTTCTTACTCCTTTTGTTTTCGAATTTCAGGCATTCTGATTGGTCAAGGACGCAAAATGTAAACAAACGCGCTGATTGGCTGACATTATTTACCCTTGTTACTTTAGACATATAAAGCTACTATTCTGTGGAAGGATTTAGTTTTTTTTTGTTTTTTTTTTCTTTGATGTACAGAGGTTTCAAAATCAGTAAAAAATCCACTGTCGAAATTAGAGGAAAAATCGTAATTTCAGCCCTCAACTTGATCCCCCTTGAACTTTGCCAAAATGCAGTTAGACTGAGAACAAAATGTATTTTGAAACAAGTGAACCCTTATAAAGGAAATCTCAACTACAAATGATAGAAATCTATTTCTTGATCCAAAGAGGTCATGAAGATCTTACAGAGACTGCCTCTTAATACAGCTATTGCATGGGCTGCCTAAACGATAGCATTGAAGCCGGACTTATAAACTAGTACATCTAGAGTACAGTATATCCATCTTCGCATGGAAGCTTGAGAAACTCAGGAAGTTTGTACTGTAATTCTATTTTCCCAAAGTCGCTTGACCATCATCTGCTGTATGTTGCACTCTATAAAAGCACCCTGATTAAAATTTCCTGGCTAACAAAGAAATAACGCTGCTTGGGTTAACAAATATTTATGGTTAAATTTCCTGGTTATGTCATTGCCTAACATAGCCTGGTTCAGATTTCTGGTGACAATAAAATAACCACTCAGTTTATGTTTCCAGATGGATCAATAACTATGGGGCCTACTTTTTTTATCCTCCTAGAATAGCCTGGTTAATTAAGCAGATTCTGGACAAATTAAGAAAATATAGTAGGAATTAAAGATTAAAATATTAAATAATCAGAAAATTTAACCAGGGGGCGGTTGTTCGAAAGGCGTTTAACTCGCTAATAACATACATAAAAATATTACTCGATCGACTGTGTTTGGTTGGTTTCAGTGCAGTTAATCCCAAGCAGCAGTGCAATTTTCTCTAATCACAGTGCAATTATTTGTCATCACAGTGCAATTTTCTGTAATCACAGTCCAAAACTCTGTAACAAATTGATCTGATTTGTGGAAAAACATTGTGATGATAAAATCAACCAATCAGTTTAAAGTAGTTTATTTTAAAGACGTAAGGTCACAGATTGCTTCAAAACAAAACGAACATAGCGCCGCGCTACTGCGCTATATCAGTTGACGTACATCGGTTGGAAAATATGGCTTTTATCTTTATTTTTAAATGGAAAAGCCTTCACCTTAAACAAGACTAACAAAACTTACATAGTTGAGTGGAATTTTCAAGCTGTTAGCGTTGTATATAATGTGATATAACAAAGCCAGGAAAACTTTGCCAGTGGAATGTTCGCTATAAGTTATTAAAACTACAATTGTCTCGAACATTTTTATGTAAATTATTAACAAGTGATGCATGGTTTCTCGTGAAATTTGGATAAACATGCACTCGTGAGTTTTTCTAATACCTCAAATACCTTAGGTCTTTGACTTTGAAAAACTCACTCGTGCATGTTATATCTAAATTGCACTCGAAACCATGCTATCACCTAAACTAACCACCGTTTAACTCGCTATACGCCAGATAAAATAAACGCTCTAGCAATCGTGTTGTTCGAAGCTCGTTTAGCGCTATCCAGCGGTTAAATTCGCCTATCCAGTGGATGAAGTTTATCTTATCCGGCGGATAAAATCGACGTTTGAAAGCAAAACAATGAGTATTTCAGATGAAAGAGGGTGGAATAGTAATAGAAATGCAAAAATCCGGTTGAGGAGTTTTCAATCCAATTTAAATCCAGTGAACGTGCATAAAAATAAGTCGAACAAGTAAGACTTCCACGTTTAGCTTTTTAAAACAAAAAATAGCTTTGGAAAGCCAACCAAGTTCACAAATAAATAGACAACAAGACGCCGAAATTTTGTTCGCTGGCCTAATCGCTTTGATCAGCCAATCAAAACTAAGGGTAAAATGTTCTTAAAATTGTTTTGAATAACGTACAAGGTTATTAGGTTAAGGAAAAATATTTAAACACTCAGTGGCGTAACGCCACATCTGGGGGCCTCCGGTTAAAAATATTAAAAGCTCCCCCCCCCCCATAAGCAATTATATTCTAAAGGAACGCATCAGTTATGTATGCTCCCAAAAACTTCTTTTAAAGATAAACTGTTTAACTGCGGTTTGGGGGGATATATTTTTATCAAAATGCTTACTAGGTACATGTAACTACCGTAGCGAATATACTGACTTACATCAAAACTGACTGACAGTCAAAACATATATGACTTGTTCGGAGAACCTGAACTGAAAAAAGGATCAAAGAACAATTATACTTCAAACTTTAAATTTGCTGATCCTTGCTTTTTCCTCTGCGAACTTATCAATCAGCTTCTCTATATCCAAAGATCACGCTTATTTGTATTCAAGACAATAGAATAGAATCCAGACGACCTTCAGAAATGCTTGAGCGAAGATAATTCTTTATAAGTTTCAACTTTGAGGACTATATGACCGGAAAACAGGGCCTTTTTAAGGATTTTCCTTTTGGGGGAGGGCATTTTTTTGAAAAGGGACCTTTCTGTGAGATAATCTATTAGAGGTGGATAGCAATGGCTAAAGGCCACATGTGGCTGACGTACCACACATGAATAGGCGGGTCAGGGGGCATACTCCCCAGCAAATTTTTGGAATTTGAAGCCCGGAAATGCCATTTCCTGCATTCTGAGCATCCAAGTTTGCTCTAAAATTTATGCTAACTTGCATTTGAAATAAAATAAGGAAAAAAACGCACAAAAAATAAAAAATAGGTACGCGACGCGTACATGTATATGCGAAAAAACTTGATTCACATTTTGTATTTTCTTCAATTGAAATATTTCATCATTTATTATAATATAATAGCAAATAAGATTTTAAAGTCAAACATAATACACATCTATAAACAGGGCTGTACATATTGCAGAGGGCAGCAGGCACAACTGCCTCCCCCTGCCGCCGAGACAATTAAACTTATTTTATAATGTGATTATGATTGTAACAGATAATTACCGTGAACTTCCGACTATAATCCCCTCCCCTCGAATATAAGCCCCCCCCCCGAATATAAGCCCACCACATATACTAACGCTCACCTCTTCCAAATATAAGCCCACCCAAATGTAAGCCCACCCGAATATAAGCCCCCCCCCCCAATATAAGTCCCCATGCAGAATATAAACCCACTAGCCCACTACGTTATTCAACATTGACATTGTCTTTTAATATAGCAGAGAACGATATTTTAAAAGATTGTCATTGTCTTTATAGCCGACTATGTGAATCAAAGCGTGTTATTAATACATGTTTATTTTCCTGTTTATGACCGACTTGTTTATGTCTGACTTGTTTATTACTAACACAAAAAATTGTCCATGTATTAGCCCCCCGTATATAAGCTCGCCCCCCCTTGTATAAGCCCATCAAAAATCGCTTACGAAAGTATATATGCCCAGGGCTTATAGTCGGAGGTTTACGGTGTGCAGTCAGGAAATGAAAATTTCATGCAAACAATATTTCAAGTGTCTATACAGCCGGCAGCCGGCTATTTAGTAAACTGTCACTGTCACTTGTCAATCCCCATACTCATCGAATTTTCAAAACTTTATTGTAATCATATGAAGGAAAAGTTCTGTCACTTGTTGTTTACGCTTGGCAATGTTAACTATTGAGTAACATACACAAACTATTCGAGGAACATATTACTGTGTCAATGGGTTTAACACAGTATATCAACACAAAAACAATTTGTGTTGTGGGAGAATATCGGTTTGAGTAGAAGATATCGCAAGTTTAGTTTTGTACATTGTGTGCGTGCCATTGATCTGATACATCCGTATAATATATGATTATTGTATAGCTGTTAAGTTATTTTCCATACTAATCAATTTAGGTAAGATTTTTTACAAGTAGTTAGGGAGTAGTTACAAGTAGTGAGTAGTTAGCCACTGTCAAACAGTATATAAAATAATAAAACGGAAAAAAGACAACACAACCCACAGTCTCTGCTATTGGAGTATTGCCCTAAGCTTTTCGCATACAGAAGACAAAACTCATTAAAGAAATATCAATAAGTAAATAAGAAACACTGTCAGAACTATATGTGAAAATAAGAAGTTTAATATGGTATTGTAACGAATATTTGAAGAATAGAATCGGATAGGGAATAACCGTCGAATAGGGAATTTATACGCCGGATAACGGCTAAACAACCGGCCCCAGAGGTGTAGTGCTTGGTGAAATGTTTTTATTATCTAATCTGAATATTTAGGATGTTGCCGAAAGCGGGTCAACCTTGCAACTATAACATATACGCAGCGACGTGTACGGAAGTGGAGATTGATGTTCTTACTGGGGAGACGGAAATCCTTAGGACAGATATTTTATTCGACTGTGGTAAAAGGTAAGCAATACTGCCTATGCCTGGAGATTCGAGGATTTAACAACATTCATCATGGTTGTCAATATAAAAATTTTCATTATATTGCACATCGAACAACACTGCAACTGTGCAAGTTTTGTTAAAACGGACCAAAAATGTGGATGTTTGGATGAACCTGAGACAAGTCTGTAAATCTATCTTTCAGCAAAAATATAAGCTTTGATAAAGCTGTTCATGCATGCTTCTTGGCGCAGCCATCTTTTTTGCTTACTTCCAGAAAACGTTTCCCGAGTAATCGCGTGTTGCAACAACAATTTGCGTGCATAGATTTCGCAGAATTGGATAAGTCAAATATCTTATATGTTAAGTGTTTCTTGACTTCCATATTTAGCAGTACATACACTCTTAGCACATGATGAGAAGGCACGTAGTGACGACAGTTCATATAATTGATTTTTGTGTATAGTATGAATCCTGAGATTGACGTTGGGCAAGTTGAAGGCGCCTTCGTCATGGGTCTTGGTTACTGGTTGACCGAACAAGCAATTTATGATCCTTGGTCTGGCCTTGAACTTACCAGTGGTACATGGGTAGGTGCCACCTTAACTACAAGTTAAAGGAGTGGCTTCGATATGTAGCAACTCTGTATATCTTGGCATGCAACGGATAATGCCTTCCTGAATTTATATGATAACGAACTATCGCTACAACTGGTCTCGCTAGAATGCAATCGTTTTCTATTTCGAAATTCTTCAGCAAGTATATATATATATATCTCACAACATTCTCCGCGTGCATTATCACACCAATGGTTTTTCAATTTTCCCGTTTTATCTCTCGTTTCCACTCATTACTAACACAATGTTAGCCAATAAATAATAAAGTTTCAAAATTATTCAAAAAGCAACCAAAAATAGACCTAAATGAAATTGAAGTGTTTACAGCTGTTCTCAGTGTGAGTTTGAAACAAGATGCAACAACTACAGGAAATTCCATTGGAATAAAATAAGAAATTTTGTTGATAAATTGGTTATGATAATGTACGCGGGGAAAGTTGTGAGACTACGAGAGAATCGTCACATTGCAATACAGTCGGTGAAAATTCGTGGCATTACTTGTCGACCCCCAGCTGCACTATCCAAATCTGGGTATTAGATTTGATTGGTCATAATTAAACTCATTAATTATAATTAGATCAGACTTTGTTTGTCGTTATTTTCAACTGCTTGCTGAATTTCATTTGTTCAATTGGATATCTTATAATCTGAAGTAATCTATAATTAATCTATTATTAGAAAATTTTTAATTTGCATCGAAAGTTTAGTAGTTTGAAGCATAGAGATAAGTAACATTTACAATCAAGAAAATACTATTTAGATTTTGAAAATCAAAGTGCAAAGTTCGCAGATATTAAAGGCCAGCCAATCAGAATCACTAAGTTCAGTCAAGACCTATCATAATCAACTACTCAAATCAGGATAGCGCAGCTGTGAGTCTACAAGCAATGCCGCGAATTTTCAGACGGTGTTACATCATAATACAGTCCCTTTTCTATCTCTTTTGTATTCCTTTTATAATACTCTTATGTTTTTGACAACATTTTAAAATAGCACATTTTTGTAAAATCTTGACTGTACCTGCTCTGAATCATATGAATGGATTTCACTAACATCGTTTCTCTGATTCAGGATTACCACCCCCCGTTCTCTAAAGATATCCCTATCGATTTCCGGGTGACCCTGCTTAAAGATGCTCAAAACCCTCTCGGTATTCTTGGTTCAAAAGGTAAGATAGTGTAAATAGAAAGATAAGGTAACTTATGCTTTAAATATCAGTTTTAGTCGTGTATAGTATAGAAAATTAATGCACTCAATGGCTTACTAGTTAGCATGCTTAAATCACCTATAAATCAAAGGTTTTTCAAAATGATTGGGGGTATTATCAGGGGAACCCCTCCCCTTCGCCGAAATTCATCCCCAGGCTGGATAGTTTTTTTTTATATTTTCGTCAAATTTAGGTTTGAGACATTCTTTCATCATTTACAAATTGTGATGATAGGCTATAGCCTGTTATTATCCTACCAGTCTCAAAATACACATAATCATAATGCACTACCTTATTGTCTGCTGAAAATTGAGATTCGACGGAAAACAAAACAAACTATTTTGCGAGGAAAGGGACATTAAGTGTTTTGTTATACAAGATGTATCTAAAATATGTACACCCTTTCAAATTCAAATTAACCGGAACCTGTTGTAGTAATTTGACAGCCGTATAATTTCTCGAATTAATGAGTGCGTGAAAACACTAGGTCTTCTGCACATGAGACTTTAGGATAACTTCTTTTGTATGAACACATGCACAACTTAAAGACGACAACGAATTTTTAAAAGGTTATGGCTAATTTGAAAGGGTGTGCACTTTTTTGATACAACCTGTATAGCGGCGAAGAAAACAATAAAAAACATTCACAAAACTGTTTAATGTAGATTATTTTAACAATTAAGGAAATGCCATTTTCATTGCTGTCCCCTGTTTAGCTTTTTTTTCATATATTTTACTGTAGATACTATATTGTTTTCGTAAACTGAAGAGATCTTTTTCCCCATTCGTGTTTTCTAGGTGTTGGTGAGCCACCGCAATGTATGTCTTGTTCGTGCCTGTTTGCTGTTCAAGATGCGATATACCACGCCCGTGAGGAGACTGGACACGACAAAGATTACTTTCCGTTAGATGGTCCAGCTATGGTGGAAGTCACACAGTTGAAATGTTTAGTTGATCCTTCACAATTTATTATATAACTATTGATTGAACAAAATTTCTAGAATGAAGCAATGATTATATATGTAGAATTTATAGAATGAACTAGCATATAACAAAATGTAGTATAGAGCTGTACGGTTCCAGAATTTTATCTCAATTCCGTTTTCGGTCTTTTTAGGGTGGAATTAGCACCACGATTCTGTGTCGATTTCAAAGCGTTTGCTCAGAAAATTGTAAATAACTTCAAAACAAACAACTTATAACAATTTAAATGAAGCGAAAACATTATACTCTTAATGTCTGCTCCCAAGGAATTTTTTTTTTCCGAAAGTCTCAATGTTTCCCGAGACGAAGTCGATGGAAACATTGAGATTAGAGGTCGAAAGAATGTTCATTCAAGAATCTTATTTTATGACAAAAACTCTATGGTGTAAACGAGTTTAAAATTAAAAGAACCAACTTAAGGTTTCAGCAGCATGTCGTGTTGCCTGTTGCTTCTTTTTGTCGTTTTTCTGCCAGCGCTAGCGAGCACCCCCCGATTTTTGTTTGTCAGGATGGTTTTGAGCACGCGTATGAATGTGCTGCTGTTTCATCGTTACTCGTTAGACATATGCGAATTTAATGCGTTCATATTCGCACTTATGCGCATCTTGCTTGCGTCAGCTGGAGCATGTGCTGACGTTCGAAAAATTGTTGAAGGCAAGAACTACAGGTAAGTTTTTTATTGAAATTATGTCAAATTTAAACTTATTTGTTGCTGGAAGCATTCAAGGTAGCGAACAGTTCAGTGATATTTCACGCGGACCACAATATTCTTTTATGAGTTTTTCAGCGTTATTATTTGCTCACACTTTGCCGGTGGACCAGTGGACCGCATCCAACGTAAATCAAATTCTTGCTGAGGGGGATCGGCTTTATCTTGATGCTTTTGAAAGAAGATCCATCCCTGACTGAGACGTTTTTCCTAGCCTGCCAGCCCCGTGAGATGCGATGGCCTCTTGACGCAAACACTATACAAATTTATACTAGACAAACAAACGATGGGTTCGACGAGCACGAAAATCACAGCTTGTACTACACTACCCTACGTGCAGCTTTTATGAATGCTTTTTCAAGCAATGATTTGTATGCATAAATAATATTAGAAGGTTATATATTATGGTAGCCAGCAGAGCTTTGGCCGTATTTCCGGGGGAGCTTGAGGGCTGACCAGAGCGAAATACGACCAGGCAACATTCTATGCTTTTTTGTATTACGCCCACAAAGTTGTTTATTTAAGAGCAGGCCTTAAAATATCTTTTTCAGGGCCGTCTGACAAAATGTCCGATGACGTTGAGTTTGGGTCGGACATATGTCCGATGACCTTCAGTTCATTTTTGACTCAGAAATAAGTCTGAATGACACAAATGAATAAACGGTAAATGTTGTAAAGATATTAAATAATTTTTTTCTTTCATACATACTTGCCAGAATAGCAGTATCAAAAAGACTTCGACAACTTAAGCCCGTTTTCCACTTCACCATTTCGCTCGCCGCCCCGCG